TAAGATAGTAATTCATTCTAGAGAACGAGCAAATTTGCCTAATTTATAAAAAAAATATTAAATAATGATAAATAAAATCTCCAAAGTTACAGCACCGCATGCGTATATCTACCCATTAGTTATTAATTTGAGTAATTATTTGCTCAAATTCAAGCAATGATAACATCGAAACACATAAATGATCCAAAACACATCTTCAATTGCACTATATAGTATTTGATGTTCTAATTTAAATAATTATATATCGATCCAAATATTCTTAATATATTACAACAAATTCATTCCGTGCATCGCACGGGTGAAAATACTAGTTATGGTAATATAAAAATAATAAAAACATTTAATATGATTTACGATTTTCTTACCAACAGTTGGAAGGAAATTTATAACATTCAGTACTTGATATTTCTGTCCAACAGTTCGTCAGAATTTCCGTCTAATTAATAGTTGGAAGGAAAACAAAAAAAATATGATATACGAATTTTCTATCCAACGTTGGTCAGAATTTCTGACCAACACACGAAGTTGGACGGAAATTCCCACGTTTTAAAATGGTGGGTTTCTATTCGGAATTTTCGTCTATTTTTTGTTCGTTGGACGTTATTTCCGACCAGAAATTGTAGTTGGACGGAATTTCTAATAATGATTTTTCCGAACCTTCGTTTTGGTCGGTATGTTGGACGGAGAGCTCGTTTCCGACCAATATATCGCGTTTTCCGTCCAACAGAAAACGCGAGATTTCCAGCTGTGTACAATCGAAACGATATATACATGCGAGGATACGTCTATTTTCACAACAATTATATAATTTTAAGTGTCATCCATGTTTGGTACTACTTGTAACGATTATTTTTAAGTGGAAGCACATTTTAAACTTATTTTTCTTCGCGTTATGATTACTAGATAATGCAGGAGAGATTGATTATAATTGTCACTAAAATAAATGTTTGCAACTTTGTAATAACGTTAGTCTAAATACTTAGTCTAAAAACGATATTCTAAATAAATACTACTTTTGATTTGAATTTCTCTAAGTTTTCTTAATTCATCTCTTTTGGTAGCGTTGTCATTGTCTTTATCTTCAGTACTTGTCATATTCTTTTATATTGGTAGTGTGTCATGTGCAATTGGGTTACTGGTGGTAGCATAGAGGGCATCGTCATGCAATGACATTATGGTGTAGGAAGTTGTGGATGTTGCTTTATTGTGTATATGACTGGGATCTTAGTTGTACTATGAACTCTTGATCTTACAAGCGCTTGTTGATATTTGGCAATAGTAGTTTTTTCCCCTTCATGTTTCATGTATTGTGAGATGTGTATCGTAGATTCTCATGTGAAAGTATTGAACAAAATATTAATATTTATTATATTTGTAGAAGGTTCATGAGTAGTACCTCTTGTTCTAATTCTATAACTTATTTACTTGATAGTAACAACAATGACTTTGCAGGTAGTCCGAATACTGAGTATTTTTGTTGTCAAGGTTGATGTTGATTTTTCCTTTAATCCAAACAGGTTGAGTTTAGAAAATGAAATGAATTATAAATTTATATTAGTTCTAATGTTTTTAAAGAATGCACAATAAGTATTTTACATACAAGATCAATGAATGCTACAACCGTGGCTATTTTTTAAATTTCTTCATTTTATGAATTTGCAAGATTGATTGCAGTATTGTTGTAGTCTTGGCATCTTTGCAATGCGTCAAGTGTGTCACGAGGTTCTATTACCCTACATTGACATTTTTAATAATGGGTTTTAAATATAGCTACGTAATATACTGATATAATTACAATTTACATATTATTATTAGCTTAAAAGCATACCAGTCCTTTAAGTGTTCTGCTCGAGATACTTTTGATTCAACCATTATTGTTGAATAAGTTCTTGTGGATAGAGAAATTCCTAGTTTATTTAAGGAATTAGATTAGTGCTAGAGACCTTGTGGTCAACCGGCATGAAGTGACTCTCTTAAGTGGAAGGTCATGTTTACGAGCTCGAAGTACATACTTTATTCGATACAAACTCCTTTTTTTGGAAGATCCACTATAATAATGAAAAAAAATTATGTATATACGCCCAAACCGTTCAATAATATCAAAATCTAATAAATCGGCCCAAACCGGTTTACTCCCTTTGACTACAAATCCTCCCCAAGTAGTTAATATGATTGGCTTCAAACTGTTTTATTTTTTTAATTTTTTTCCATGGTATTAATAAAATACTTGGTAAATAAATATATAACATTATTTTGTATTATAACTTTGATAATTAATTACAAAATAGTGTAAAAAGAAGACAATGGACAATGTAGCGAATGTAATTAATTAATGAATTTGAAGGTAATGAATCTTTGCATTGTAGAAAATAAGGACAATATAACCAATGAAATTATATATATTTTTTATAAGGATTTTTTTTAATAAAGGCATTGTAGATATCTAATTTTAAATTAAAGAAATGCATAAATATTATTTTTGGTTGTAGCTATTAATTTATTTAATTTAATAAGAGTAATAGAGTGGGTACTCAGTTTTAAGCCACAACAATGAAGTCACTGATTTTTTTTTATTTTCTTATTTCCATTTGTTGTTGAGACAAATTGTTTTGGGACTTTGTCAATGATAATTTATACAATTCTTTTCAATAGAGGATGATGATAAATAATTCAAAATATATAGTTACAATAGATATTGTTATAATGATATAATGAAAATTAACATACAAATTTCTTTAGAACTTTTCATGCATTGATAAAATTCTAAGAATGATATATAAACTTATTCAATTTGAGCCAGTGGGATGTCAACATTGTCAATTTTTTGGATAATGGTCATACCGTTTAGAGTCCAAGTGTAATTGTATTTATGATCAACAATTTTGTAGTTAGGTTGCGCAACAAAGATGTAATAACAATTTTGTCTGATAAAAAAAATAATAGTACAATAGTTATAAAGTAATGTACAATTGTACCATTATAGAAATACATACAAAAAATATTAATACCATAATGACCTAAATCATTCCCAATAATGCAAAACCATAATTGAAATATTGAGTCTTGTTCTAAATAATCAAAAGAAGATTAATTAAACAAAAAAAAAAATGAAAAAAAATTTAACCTAAATTTGTTTTTTTTTTTTTAAACGCAAGAAAATGATTTTCAAGATTTCTTAATTATAATCATTGATGATCAACTTTGAAAGCTATGTATTAGTCGGGCTAATTATTTGATCAAAGTTTATGTTAAATTTTATATTGTATTTTAACTATTTTTTTAATACACTCTAACATATATTTCGTAGTATATGTTTAACAATTATGTCAATTATGATTGAAATGAGGTTTGAACCTAAGACCTTTCTTATAGAAATCAATGAGTAAGTTAAGAATAATAAATAGTAACAGAATATTCTGTTGTGTTTAACAATTATGCCAACTCTGATTGGAATGAGATCCGAACCTAAGACCTTTTTTATAGAAATCAATGAGTAAGTTAAGAATAATAAATAGTTAACCGAATATTCCGTTACTAAAGTTTATACTAACGGAATGTGCGGTTATTTAAAGGAAGAAAATAATATAGTAGAGGATAAAGTAGGAAAATAAAAATAAAATGCTAAAATAAAATAATCTGAACCATTCATTCTATCAAATAATTGGACGGATATTCTTTAGTAGATAGTAGATATAAAATCAAATAATTATTATGGTAATTAAGCTAATAATTACATGAATATTAGTTTAATTGACTAATAATTATTATGGTAATGATGATTTTATTGGGACCAAGTCCAACATAAACCGGGTATATGAACATAGGACGGGGGTAGGAAAGTAATGACTTTATTACCCGGGGCGCCAGGCCCAAAGTAATGTGTACAAAGCCCGAGGTACAGGCCCGCCCAAATACAAATAACAAGGCCCACAGGGTGGGCTATAGCTAACTATGCTACTAGTAAGAATCAAACCCAGGTGACTGGATTGAGAGTAGATCAAGATCACGAGACTATAGTGCCTGTCGTGTCTGAGTTGCCCAAAGCCAAAGATCCAGGGCCCCTATTTATAGCAAGCCCCCCTCCTCTTCTGGCGTCCGCGTGTCCCACGTTGTTCCTCCTCCACTCCGCTTTGTTTGTCGCCATGCATGTCACGTCGCCGCTATCCCCGCGACTCCCGCTTCCACACCGCGCACGCTGTCTAACATCCTCCACCATGCACGCCGCACCTACCTCCCCCCTAACGCCATACCTACCTTCCCCCCCTCACGTCGTACCTACCTCCCCCCCCCCCCTCATACCGCACCTACCTCCCCCCTCACGTTGTACCTACCTCCTACACCTACCTCTTCCCCCCTCACGCCGTACCTACCTCTCCCCCTCATGCCGTACCTACCTCCACCCTCACGCCATACCTACCTCCCTCCTTTCGGTCCATGCTCTTCACCCCGGCCCACCATGGGTGGTTGTCTTCCTAGCCCAACAAGACTTGGGCCAACCTCCTTCTTTCACCACCCCCACTTGGGCCAATACTTTCCCAATAAAATGAACCCCCTAGGGTCCCATATCCCCATCACAAGTCCCCCACTTCTTTTAGGTATCTTGATGCCTAAAGGAAGTAGAATTCGGTACAACCACCTCCTTTCTTTCTCAAACTCAACCTCTAGTTCCCAAGCTTTCATGATATCCCCATCACAAGTCCCCCACTTCTTTTAGGTATCTTGATGCCTAAAGGAAGTAGAATTCGGTATCACCACCTCCTCTCTATCCCCAACTCAAATTTTTTAGATATTTGTAGGTTCCTGCCACCATCGTGCGTCGCTACCACCTGCCATCCCCGCGATTGCCACACGTCATACCATTACTGCGCGTCGCTATCGCACGGCCCTGACGACCATCGACTCATTACTTGCTTCATCACCTCGCCTTCAGGATCTTGTTTTCTGTACACACTTTTTGCATTGGATATCTTCCTTGCTAGTCAGTACCCGACTTCTTTTACATATGTTGTTTTTCACACTGTTCTCTATTGCTATTTTGTCCTGCGTTTGTTAGTTTCTCCATACTGCACCTGCACGGGACCTTTTTTTTTTTTTTTTTTTTTTCCCGATTAAGGTAACCGATGGTAGTAGGGGCAGTGTGGGTTGCGATAATCCACACGCCCTATCCGCCAAAAACCATGCGGCTTTCCGGGGGCAAGTCCGCGCATGTGGGTTGCAATAACCCACACACTCCATCCGCCAACACCATGCGGCTTGCCGGGGGCAAGTCCGCGCGTGTGGGTTGCGATAACCGACATGCCCCATCCGCCAACACCATGCGGCTTTCCGGGGGCAAGTCCGCGCATGTGGGTTGCGATAACCCACACGCCCCATCCACCAACACCATGCGGCTTGCCGGGGGCAAGTCCGCGCGTGTGGGTTGCGATAACCGACACGCCCCATCTGCTAACACCATGCGGCTTGCCGGGGGCAATTCCGTGCGTGTGGGTTGCGATAACCCACACGCCCCATCCACCAACACCATGCGGCTTTCCGGGGGCAAGTCCGCGCATGTGGGTTGCGATAACCCACACGCCCCATCCACCAACACCATGCGGCTTTCCGGGGGCAAGTCCGCGCATGTGGGTTGCGATAACCCACACGCCCCATCCACCAACACCATGCGGCTTGCCGGGGGCAAGTCCGCGCGTGTGGGTTGCGATAACCCACACACCCTATCCGCCAACACCATGCGGCTTGCCGGGGGAAAGTCCGCGCGTGTGGGTTGCGATAACCCACACGCCCCAATCGCCAACACCATGCGGCTTGCCGGGGGCAAGTCCGCGCATGTGGGTTGCGATAACCCTCATGCCCCATTCGCCAACACCATGCGGCTTGCCGGGGGTAAATCCGCGCATGTGGGTTGCAATAACCCACACGCCCCATCCGCCAATACCATGCGGCTTGCCGGGGGCAAGTCCGCGCATGTGAGTTGTGATAAGCCACATGCCCCATCCGCCATGGCCGTAGGGCCAGCATGCATAGCACATAGGAGCACATAAGTGAGGTGGTCGTAGGCCATGCATGCGTAGCACATAGGAGAACATAGTTGAGGTGACCATAGGCCGCGCATGCATAGTACATAGGAGCACATGTTTGGGAAAAGAGTACTGATATTATTATTCGCATGATGTAACGTAAAGTGGTAAAGCTATGCAAGCTACCTTATTCTTCCATCTAAGCTTCCAGACAGGCGGTTGGCCCTTTCCCTAGGTTTTTGGCGGCCCTTCGAGCCATGGCATCTTACCACCTTCACCCTCCTCTAGATACTTTAGGCGATTAGCTTCCTTCGCCTCAGCATACCGATATGCTTTCATCATCAATGCCGAGTACGACTTCGGGTTTTGCGCCGCAGGCTCTTGTATAAGTCTCCGGCGCGGAGCGCGGCAATGAACATGGCCATCGCCGATCCGCCATCCATATCTTCAACCTCGGCCTCTTCTTTCCTCCACCGCGAGATGAACTCAGTAAGAGTTTCATCTCTTCCCTTCTCGTTCGTCCTCCTGTCTTCCTCCTCCGGCATGAAGTGGGGCGGGCGCCTCCGTCACACCGCGACCAGTGTTTCGCCCACCCCCACTGCGTGGTTGAATGGGTAAATGCTCTCCTTGTGAGCCAGCCATTTCGGCGTACCTCAGAATCTTGCTAGGACGGTAGAGACTACAAACACGGGCTAATCGTAGCGATCCCCACAGACGGTGCCAATGATGGTTTTATTGGGACCGGGTCCACCATAAACCGGGTATAGGAACATAGGACGGGGGTAGGAAAGTAATGACTTTTTTACCCGGGGCGCCAGGCCCACCATAAACCGGGTATAGGAACATAGGACGGGGGTAGGAAAGTAATGACTTTTTTACCCGGGGCGCCAGGCCCAAAGTAATGCGTACAAAGCCCGAGGTACAAGCCCAGAATGGCGGCCCAAATACAAATAACAAGGCCCACGGGGTGGGCTATAGCTAACTATGCTACTAATAAGAATCGAACCCAGGTGACTGGATTCAGAGTATAGATCAAGACCACGAGACTATAGTGCCTGTCGTGTCTGAGTTGCCCTTAGCCAAAGATCTAGGGCCCCTATTTATAACAAGCCCCCCTCCTCCTCTGGCGTTCGCGTGTCCCACATTGTTCCTCCCCCACTCCGCTTGTTTTTCGCCATGCAAGTCACGTCGCCGCTATCCCCGCGACTCCCGCTTCCACACCGCGCACGCTGACTAACATCCTCCACCATGCACGCCGCACCTACCTCCCCCCCCCCCCCTCTCACGTCGTACCTACCTCCCGCACCTACCTCCCCCCTCACGCCGTACCTACCTCCCCCCTCACGCCGTACCTACCTCCCCCCCTCATGTCGTACCTACCTCCCCCCTCACGTTGTACCTACCTCTTCCCCCCTCACGCCGTACCTACCTCCCCCCTCACGCCATACCTACCTCTCCCCTTCCGGTCCATGCTCTTCACCCCGGCCCACCATGCGTGGTTGTCTTCGTAGCCCAACAAGACTTGGGCCAACCTCCTTCTTTCACCACCCCCACTTGGGTCAATACTTTCCCAATAAAATGGACCCCCTAGGGTCCCATATCCCCATCACAAGTCCCCCACTTCTTTTAAGTATCTTGATGCCTAAAGGAAGTAGAATTCGGTACAACCACATCCTTTCTTTCTCAAACTCAACCTCTAGTTCCCAAGCTTTCATGATATCCCCATCAGGTAATTAAGCTAATAATTATCATAAACTATCTATACTACTAATAAAAACAAAATCCTACTTTTTGCAACTTTCCGCCCAAACTACCTCCCCAAACTTTTAGTATATAAAATCTAATGATTATTATGGTAATTAAGCTAATAAGTACACGAATATTAGTATAATTGACTAATTATTACTATGGTAATTAAGCTAATAATTACCATAATAATAGTATAATTACAATTAAACATGCGTCGTTGTTTTTTTTTTTTCTAATGAGAATTAATTCATTCAGATATTGAGGAAGAAAAAAGTGAAGGCGATAGGGTGAAAAAGAATATACTTAAAGGTATAAAAGTATAATTGCACAGATATTAGTATAATTACCTAATAATTATTATGATAATTAAGTTAAACATGGGTCGTTGGATTTATTTTTATAATAATTACAATTAAATTATTTCTCCTTTTTTTTCATATTTATTTTAGTAATAATATAATTACATAAATCAAATTACATATCGATTATTTTAGAGATAATTACAGACAAACGAGTCATATATTATTCGATTAATTGAGTGATACTTTTGCACTAATATTATAATTAAATAAATATACACTTTCAAATATTAGAATTGTTTATAATTTCATATTTAATTTTATTATCTAAATATATAATAACAAATTTTATCTGTGCATCACACGGGTAATTGAACAATTATTTGTTCGAATTCAAACAAGGATAACATCAGAAAACATATATTCGTTGTTCAAGTGGGGGTGGGAGAAGGAGGTTGGCCCAAGTCTTGTTGGGCAAGAGAGAGAAGCATTGCATGCATGCTGGTCCAAAGGAAGAGGTGGTGGAAGAAGGAGGTTGACCCAAATCTTGGTGGGCTAGAGAGAGAAGCATGGCATGCATGGTACGTGGTCCAAAGGAGCTGGTGGTGGAAGAATGAGGTTGGTCCCAAGTCTTGTTGGGCTAGAGACACAAGCATGGCATGCGTGGTGGTCCAAAGGAGGAGAGAGAAGGAGTTGACAAGGAAGAACCACCAGCGGCCGATCAACTACTGATCGGCAGGGCAACCCGCCAGAGTCCTAGCGACGAGGCATGGCCGGTGTGGTCTCGTCGGGTCGGCGGCGCCCTACCGGTGCGGCCAGTTAAGGTTCGGTGGGGCAGCCCGCCGGAGTCTTGGTCGGCACGGCAAGTGAAGGCAGGCAGGCTGGAGTTGGAGTAAAAAGGAGTAAAAGATGTTGCCAGTAGGGATCGAAAACCTAAAATCTCTAGCATAGCAGGCACGCCTCAACCCACCAGGCCATAACAGTTATTGTGTATTAAAGCGCTACAATATATATTTGTTCCTATATTTTCGGGCTGGCAACATTAACCATGCATCGACCATGACCAGCGGCGTGGCCTGCCGGCCACCTCATGCCATGGCGTGTCCAGTGGGGGAGGTGTGCTCCCGGGCACGGCAACGGCGCCCCCACTTGAGGGGGGGAGGATAGTATTGCAGATGCGTACATCAGTACATGGGGGATTGGTAATCGACCCTTCCGGCTAGCGCATGGCTAACAATGTTAGCCCATGGACTCCCCATGGCATGGTGTGACTAGCATGGACCATGCACCCCCCGGTGCACCATCAGCGCCTCCACCGACTGGAAGTGGTAGTAAGGGGTAGAGAGGGGTGGTAGAGAAGGTGGAGATGTAGGTGAAGGCACGAGGCATGCATGGGCACATGGAGGATGGATAAGGAAGACTAGTTGATGTCGTACACTTGTCAACAATCCGGAAGCCCATCTACACTATATAAGGCACCCTTCACTCACTGATAAGTGTCAGAGACGCATACTTTTAAGGTCTATTTAGGGTGAATTCTAGGCTAAAAGTAATCCTTTGTGTAGCAATATTGTGCCAATTAGCTATGTTTTGCATTGTATTGGAAATTACCACCGCACTTTACGTTTTACAGGTTTTTAGGTAAGTTTCGGGCCTAAACGAGGCAAAGTGGCAAAACTGGAATGAAAGCGGGATAAGAAGACAAGCCGAGACCTAGCAACGAGTCCACAACGTACGTTGCAGCACACGTTGTGGAGAGACACAAACAGGGCTGAAATTCCAGAAACTTCCACGCCAAGCACAACGTGCGTTGTGACACACGTTGGGCAGAGTAAATTCCCGGACAACGCACGTTGTCCAGGCGTTGGAAGCTGCGTTGATGGGGATGCGAAAGGAAATGAAAGGGAGGCTATTTAAAGTGTTTTAGATCATATTTGTAAAAGGGGAGAGACACAATTTTAGAAAGAGAAATAGATAGCTTAGCATTTAGAATTAGAGAGAAACACTTTTGTAGAGAAGATTTGATAGATCCAAGCTTAGTTCTTGAGATATTGATTGAAGGAAGAGCTTGACAAACTCCATTTCAAGAGATCTTGCAAGACTTGATTTCATTTTCCTAATCTACTTTTGGGTATAATTTTCTACTCTTTTCTATTTCTACTTGCTTTGCTAGGGTTAGATCTATGAATGCTTTTGTGATTTTCATGTCTATTGTAGGCTAGTCTTGTTAGGGTTTGGATTGTGAAAGTGTGTGTTGATGATGCTTCCATGACTTTGTTCTCAAATTATGGATTGATTGATAACATTGCTTCTATGTCTTGTTGTTGAGGTTTGTCTTGTATGGAACCTAAGAACTTGATCACCTCCTATGGTGTTGAGGGATTGACCTTTGCTAGGTCAATCCAAGCTCCTATCCTTAGCATTTCCTAGCTCAAGGAATCCTACGGCGCTTGGTTATGAAGGGGTTGAAGGTAAGGTATTCGAGGAAAGGCTTAGGTGAAAACCTAAGCAAAGTCCTAGTAGTCTAAGTTACGAAAGGACGTAAGCCACTCCCTAGACTTAGCAATGACATCCTCTTTCCCTATGTCAAATGATCCCCTTAGCATCTTCATCCACACTAAGTAATCCAACCTTACTTGTTTATCATTTTGTTCGTTGTTGTTAGCATTCATTTCGTTCATTCACTACTATACGATGTTATTCAATTGTGTGCGCGTGACATGCTTGCAAACATTACCGATGTCTTTACTTTCCAACCTTAGCAACTTAAGGGTAACTCCAAGCGACCATCCCTTGAGTACGAAAAAATCTAGGATTCATCCCAACACAATTAAACTTTTCTAAGAAAATCAAGCTAAGAGAAAAAAGAAAAAAAAAAAACCCCGCATCAATCCCTTTCACCCTGATCTAGTGGTCTTGGTCTCATACTCTCAACCCTCTCACTTGGGTTTGATTATTGTCGATAGCATAGTTAGCTATAGCCCTTCCTTTAATTTGGGCCTTGTTCTTTGTATTTGAATCGCCATTTTGGGCCGTACATCAGGATTTGTACGTATTATTTTGGGCATGCGCCTAGGGTAATAAAGCTACTCTTTTTTCTACCCCGTTCTATATTTCTATAATCGATTTATGATGGATCCAGTCCTAATAAAACCATCATATCCAAATATTCCTAAAATATTATAACAAATCCATTTGGTGCAACCTAACGCAAGAGCGAAAATCCTAGTTTCATTAAATAAATGATGCCAAAATCATCTACTATCACTTTATTCTTCTTGCTCCCTTGAAGAAAATATAGTATAATTAGAAAAATCACGGAAGAACTTATTTCAATCACAAATGTTTCTACGTTCCATTAAATACGCAAACACAACGAAGGTAAATTACAAAGAAAATACTTCATCTGGCATTAACTCTTTTTCATATATACCAACTACAACATCACCTGGGGTAGAAAGAGCTATGAGACAAACTGGCATTTGAAGCAAAGTCTTCGTTTTTGTGACGGTACATTGGGCTATCCCAAGAACTCTTAAATTCCATGGTTTTCTCATCCAGGAAAGGAGGGTTAGAAGGAGGAGGCAACTCTTCTTCCTTCTTCACAAGCATGTGTAACACCTTGGACATGGATGGCCTTAGTGATGGCATCTCTTGTATGCATAATAGCCCAACTTGAAGCACTCTTAGAACCTCAGATTTCACACTCACATCGTGGTAGTTATGAAGCATTAGGTTTGGATCAAACAGCTCTTCCGCTGTCCCCTCTTGGAAATGCATCCATGCCTGCACATTCAAAATTATATTATTGTTAGATCATAAACGCTTACCATTACTCCAAAAGTTACAGCTTGCAGCGAGGGGGCAACATTTCTTTATATTGTCATGTTTTTGAGAGGCAGGTTCTGGACTTGATCAGTCATACCTCCCCAACAATTCCCTAATTACCTGGATAAGGGCAAGGCCATGTACTTAACCATTTAACCCAACTCATCTTTTAGTAATTTTTTTTATATTACTTAGTTATGTTTAAACATTTACTCTATATATACACAAAGGCGCCTATATATAAGGTGTGAGGGAGGGGGCAATTGCTTCCACTGCCCCTACACTAGATTCGCCCCATGCTGGACTTGACCCTTCAATGTGAAAAAGAGATTTGGCATAATTATAGGAACAACAGAAGCTAGGATTAGTATATACCTTCATGATAACTCAAATATATATATTTTCGAGAGGCAAGGTGCTGGACTTGGTCCTTTACGGGTTCGCCCAACAGTCACACTAGCCACATGGTGTTGGGCTTGGTCCTTACCGGTCTCCACCCAACATTACCACTATGCCAAAAGCTATATATAAATGAACGCGCATCTTCATTTCCCTATACCATCATATTTTTTAGAGGTAGGTGCTGGACTTGACCTTTTAAGCCTCCGCCTAACAATTCCTAACCACTTGGTGTTGGACTTGGTCCTTCACCGGCCTCCATCCGACATATATAAATATAAAACAATAGAGATTGATGCAAGGTGCTAAAACATACTACATTCACTATGCTGTCGGCGTATTCTGTGTTTTTGCTCCTGTTGTTTTGCTTTCCCGTTACAATTTCCAACAGTAATACTCCAAAACTGTAAATATCTGCCTTTTCTGTCAATTGCCCATTTGCTAAGTACTCGGGAGCCATGTATCCCCTGCAATAAATTTAAGTGAGAAAATCAACCATTTAATTGAACCTAGCTCTATCAAAAGCTCGATTATTTTGAAAAATATAGCAGTAGTTACTGACAATGTTCCGGCAATAGCAGTGCTTATATGGCTCTTATCATCATCTTGGAAAGATCTAGCCAATCCAAAATCTGCAATTTTAGCTTGGAACCTCGAGTCTAACAAAATATTGCTGGCTTTGATATCTCGATGAATAATACGTATGTTCGAGTTTTCATGAAGGTATACTAATCCTTCTGCTGTTCCTATAATTATGCTGAATCTCTTTTCCCAGTTTAAACCTTTGCCTTTGTTTTGATCTGTCATATGTGATAAAGCAAGCATTCTGTTATATTAGGATTAAACGCTTACCTTTAGCTATATAATGTTGGACATGGTCCTTTATCGGCCTCAACTCAACAATTTTCCTTCCCAGCAATTTTCAGTCTTAATTGTACAATTTTTAATCTTCGAGACTTTACCACGACATTTTCGGGAGGCAAGATACTAGATTTTGCCTCTCCCAAGTAATCTCACTAACCAGTTGGTGCTGGACTTGACCCTTCACCGGCCTCCACCCAACACAATATTAATTTATGATGTATAATTTAGTATAAACTAACACTCACCAAAAATGAAGCGATCAAGACTCAGATTTGGTAGAAATTCATATACAAGAAGGCTTTCGGGTCCAGAACAGCTGCAACCCAATAATCTGACAAGATTTTTGTGCTCTACTTGGCTAATAATGTTAACTTCATTGTAAAAATCTGTTGCTCGATGTTTGTTATTAAAAAAAAGCCTCTTCACTGCAACATCTCTTCCATCTACTAAAACCCCCTGCAATGATAATGTTATCAAATCACAAAATTTAGAATCCTTAAGATATCAACATGCTAGGATCAACCATTATATATATATATATACACTATATCAACCTTGTAAACAATGCCATATCCGCCTTGTCCTAGCTTGTTGGCTTCATCAAAAGATCCAGTAGCTTTCTCGAGTGTGGAATATTTGAAGTTCAAGCTGCTGTCATGAAGGATCTTCACTAATTTCTTGACATCATTTGGACCTAGATAGGAAATATGATAATAACATGAATGTCAACAATATTGAGCATATAATATAATATATAAACATAAATGTGCAGTCCAACTATTTAGTTGAGATGCTAGTATATTTCATAGCCAACTAACTCATGTCAAAGGTCACGAATATAAAATATAAACATTGTTGGACAGAGGCCAGTAAAGGCCAAGTTTAGCACCTAGTGGCTGAGAGATTGTTGGGCGGATGCCGGGGCCTTCAAAAGGTCAGTCAAGTCCAGCACCCAGCCTGTCGAAAATGTTATGCCGGTCTGTAAAGAAATAAAATTGCGCCTTTGCTACTAGCTATAACTTTTGGCATAGTAGTAAGCGCTTAATCTTAACAAGTGGTTTGAGTTGGTGCTGGGAAGGAAAATTGTTGGGCGGTAAAGGGACTTAAAAGGGTCAAGTCCACCATCCAACGTCTCGAAAATGTAAATTGTTAGGCGGAGGCCCTTACTATCAGCTATATTGTGTACTGTTTACATACATACCTTTTCTTTTCTTCTCTAGTCTTTTCTGTTTCCAAATGTAAAAGCCAATGAAAACCCCCACGACAAAAAGAATTGCAGAGCAAACAACTAACAGTACAATGAGTATTATATTTGCTGCAAACAAAATCGTTTAAACAGTCATAATTCGATCAAATTAAGGAATACTTTCATTAAAAAAAACAGCTTAGTAATTAACATTATATTACCTCTTGAAGATGAGGCTCCAGTAGATGGAACAGAATTAAGAAAGTTGGTATCAGAGTATCTGATGAAGCACCCAGTGTACAACGCACGACCCTCAGACCAAGGCAGACATTTTAACATGGACTTAGCCGCATTCTCCAAACATCTTCGGCAACCACTGGCATTCACAGTCTTCCAACAATTGGCCAAAACATATGCCGCCGCCGCCGCCGACTCACTGTGTCTCCTAGGTTTTGGGAGTTCAACACGCGCGTAGCCATTGTTATTTGGCGCGTTTGCAACTGCCTGCAACTAGGAGTGTTAGTGAACAGAACTTTTAATAAACTATTCGATAAGGGTAGCATTCATTTATGTTCAAACATAAATGAACAAATTTTAGAATTTGTTTAATAAACGAACAGATCAAGTCTAAACATTTGTATGCTTCTTTGCTAAGAGCTTGTGAACACGTTCATTATTGTACGTTTAATAATGTTCATGAACAAACTCATTTAATTTTCAGTTAATAATGCACACAAACATGATAGTTTAGTGTTCGTTTAACATGTACATTTGTTTGTTTGTTTGTTTAGTGTTCGTGAACATGTAACTAACACGTTTGTGAACTTGTTCGCAAACGTGTTCATTGAACGTTAACGTCAGCTTAATAAACGAACACGAACACAATTTTTAAAAATTTAACAAACGAAAATACGAAGATGAACACTAACAATTTTAACAAACAAATACGAACAGCCACTATCTGTTCGTGTTCAGTTCGTTAGCGGCCCTACCTGCAACACAGCCCTCTTAGCTGTATCTTGGAACAAGCCATCCTTCCTAGTTTTGTTCCCACAAACATATGTATCCTCTGCACCTAAACTCTGTTGAAAGAAGCTATAGTTCTCAGCGCGCATGAAACAACCGTCGAGGTAAATTCTGCCACCATTGAAAGGGAAGCACTGGGGCAGAACAGTGCGTGCTTCGGCATAGCACAATGCGCAATCGAGTAAGGAAAGATCGCCATAGCATTGTGCGAGCCCGAAGTTGGCATCGGGTCCTTTGCCGGTTATTGAAACACCCCAGCCTTGAGTGCGCATTTGGGTGCTTATGTTTTCCATGGTTGCAACAAAATTCGGGACAAAAACTGAGAAGTTATTCTCCACTTGGTGTGCACAAATCATTTTGACTGTTTGAGTTCTTGGGGCACCATTACAAACATCTAGTAAAACCAGAGTTGTCACAAGTATCAAAGGAACATATGGCATTGGGACCAAAAGGGCTGTTTTCTTCATGTTTCCAATTTGATGTTTTGATTCCGGGCCACCCTGTTCAACATATAAAATGAATGTTAAGATCATGCTCTTACCAGTACACTATTTTCTTAGGAAAGGTTGGGTGTGGCCTTTAGGACTGTGTCCAACAATTTCCTATAGCACCTGCCTGCCTTATTTTAATCCGTGACTGATATCACTTGTTAGGATCAAAGGAATTACCAATACTTCAAAAATTATAGTTAATAGCAAAGGGTACAATTTTATTTCTCCCACATTTTTGAGAGGCAGGATGTTGGACTTGGCCCTTCAGGCCTCCACCCAACAATTTCCCACAGCACCTGCCCGCCTTACTCTAATCATACTACTTTTAGGATCAAACAATTTATCACTATCTCAAAAACTATAGCTAGCAGCAAAGGACACAACTTTATTTTCCCCACATTTTCAAGAGGCAGGATGCTGGACTTGGCCCTTCAGGCCTCCACCCAACAATTTCCCACAGCACTTGCCAGCCTTACTCTAATCATACTACTTTTAGAATCAAACAATTTATCACTATCTCAAAAACTATAGTTAGCAACAAAGGGCACAACTTTATTTCTGTCACATTTTTGAGAAATAAGGTTCTGGACTTAGCCCTTTAGGCCTCCGCCAAATAATTCCTTAGTCATCTGGTACTAAACTTGACACTTTATCGACCTCCGCCTGCATTTGACTAAATAATAATAATAAAAAAAAAACATGAAGCAACAAAATATATGTCGTCATACATTAATTAACCTACATTAATGATTTCCCCATCATCACTAAATCAAAGCTTCTAAACCTAGTCTAAACTCTAGTAACTAAATTATAAATAAATTAAAAATTGATGAATATATAATAACAAAGACACAAAAAAAAAAAAATTATGATATATAAAGAACACACTTCATACTCTATTGAGACGAGACTGAATTAATAACAAACAATTAAGCAATGAACTGCTAACTATATATATTAAAGAAATTTTTGATTAAATTATCCTTTAGTAATATAACTAAATTATAAATAAATTACAAATTGCTGAATATAATAACAAAGACACAAAAATTAAAAATTGATGATATATAATAACATTTTATTAAGCTTAGCTCTTAGCTTAATAATAACAATAACAAATAAAAAAAAAATCAAAATTGATCCCCCTAAAAAAGATACGGAAATGAAATTTAGAAACTGATCAGATTACACAATAATAACATTTTATTCATAGGAGACACAAAAGAAACTGGAGACTACAATGCTCACTTACAGGGACTTTTCGAAATTCACGTTCGGATTATCAGATGAAGATTCTTGCTTGCTTCATTTCTTATAAGTTAAAACGTTGCTTCACAGGCCACAGCAACATACTATACATATGATAGATGGGTATGTATATATCTGTGTGTGTATGATAACGAAGAATGAAAGATGAGAACAGTGATGAATTGAATGAAAATACAGATGAAGAAAAAAAGCGATCGATGGTGGACTTAGCTTGCAAGTTGTATGTCAGGGAAGTCAAGCTGATAAGATAAAAAGCATTTCTTTATTGGTTTTGGACAACATTTTCTAAACGAAGACTTTGAAAGTTCTTTTGTGGGCTTATTTCTGACTGTTGATTTTACTTAAAAACATGATTGAAAAAAGGAATAAGGGTCAAATAGGCCATCGAACTGCACACGAGAATGCAATTAGGCCATTGAACTTAAAAAATCAACAATTAAGTCCCTAAACTAACGAATTTCATTCAATTTGTCCATTTTGCAGGTTTCTTAAGTTTCTAAAAGGTTAATTATCCCTCCACCTAGGATGCATATGTGGCATTTTTTAAAAATTATTTAGTTTTAAATTAGTTTTTTAATATTTAGTAAATAAAAACTAAAATAATTTGTTTTTTCTTTTTTAAATAAAATAATTTGTTAATTTTTTTAAAATTCGCAAATCACTAATATAAATTAATTATTTTAAAATTCAAAAATCACCAATCACGATAGTTTTTATTAAATAATTTGTTGATTTTTTTTTATTTCTATACTGATTATTCTTTGTTGCTAATAATACTAATACTGCTTCTTTTTTTTAAAAAAACAATAAATTATATTACTGCTAATAATAATACTAAAACTATTAATAATAGTTTTGTTTAATAATATGATACATTTAGTAATAGTATTACTGCTTTCTAATATATTGCTTTTACTGCTTTATTTCCCTTTGTAATATGCTTTGGCCAGGAACAAATAAAAAATCAACAAATTATTTAATAGAAACTATCGTGATTTGGTATTTTTTGAATTTTAAAATAATTAGTTTGTATTGGTCATTTGCAAATTTTAAACAAATTAAAAAAATATTTTATTTTAAAAAATAAAATTATTTTAGTTTTTATATATTAAACATTAAAAAACTAATTTAAAAATAAATAATTTTTTTAAAATGCCACATATGCATCCTCGGTGGAGGAGTAACCTGTTAGAAACCTGTAAAATGGACAAATTGAATGAAATTGGTTAGTTTAGGGACCTAATTGTAGGTTTTTTAAGTTCGGTGGCCTAATTGCATTCTCGTGTGCAGTTCGATGGCCTATTTGACCCTTATTCCTTGAAAAAATTATCGCTAGTCGCCCTTTGGACATTCTGGTGTCTAAATATAATAAATGTAATATATATTAAAGGGAAAATGACACTTTTTCTCCCTAAGTTATATACTTATAGCACTTTTTCCCCTTCAATTATTTATGTAAACACATTAGCCCCCTCAATTATTTTAAAAGTGGTGGTTTTTCCCCCTGATATATTAAATTGACATTTCTACCCTTAAAGTAAACATTTTATTTATTTTACTTCTCCAACAAATTATTGTGTATATGTAGCTATGGCCACGGTTCGGTTCGAACTGAACCGGACACTATAGCAATCGAATTAAAAGTTTTCGGTTATGATTCAGATCTAGAATCCAATATTTAGATTTCAATTTATTAAATTTATGAACCAAAAAAACTGGATCATGAACCGTGAACCGGCGGTTTCGGATCTGGTTCGCGATTTTGAATCGTCTTTATTTTAAAATTTTATTTTATTTTTTATTTTAAAATAGTCTAAATTCAACAATAAATGTATTTTATTTTTTCAGTTCGGAACATGAACCGGCCATTCCGATTTGCGATTTTAATAAACTCTAAATATCGCGTTTTGATTCTAAATTGTAATTAGAATATTTTGGTTTGGTTGCTATAGTATCTGTTTGGTTTGAACCAAATTATAGTAATAATTTGTTGGAGAAGAAAAATAAATGAAATATTTATTTTAAATATTTATTTTAAGGGTAAATATGTTCATTTAACATTTTAGGGGGTAAAATAACCACTTAAATAATTCAGGGAGAAAAATGCTATAAGTATATAACTCAGGGGGAAAAAGTGTCATTTTTCCTATATTAAATATAATATATTTAATATAATATATATTAAATATAATATAATATATTTATAAGATATATTAAATATAATATATCTATATATTATATTTATATATATTGAGAAGAGAGAGAGGAATAGATAAGTAATTTGATTGATGATTATGAATAAACAAAAGCTACATATTTATAGTGAAAGAGAAAAGCAACAATGCTAAAGTTTAGGAAGTAATTAGAGGCCATGATTCCATGTACTCCATTTCCACGTAGTGCTATGCATGCATCCACGTTCACACACCTCTTATTTTTTAACAAATTAACTGGTAACTACTTGGTTTAATATTACTAATAATAATAATAATAATAATAATAATAATAATAATATTATTATTATTATTATTATTATAACATTGCCTCCTTTAAACCAAGTTGGATATATTGGTCATACCAATTTCGTTCTTCAATATGAGAAATGTCTCCGTCTTCAACGGCTTCGTAAAGATATCTGCAACTTGACATTCACTTGAACAATACTCAATGTTGATTTGCTTTTCAGCAACCAACTCTCTGATTTTGTGATACTTGATATCAATATGCTTGCTGCGACCATGAAAGATAGGATTCTTGGACAACGAAATTGCTGACTTGTTTTCACAAAAAATAGTTGTAGGTGCTTCCTGCTTGTGTTGTAGGAACTCCAAAATTCTCCTCAGCCAAACTGCTTGAGTAGCACAGTTTGCTGCTGCAATATATTCTGCTTCTGTGGTTGAAAGTGCTACAATCTGCTGCTTCTTTTAAGACCAAGAAAATATGGCTGAACCAAGATAGAAGGCATATCCTAATGTGCTTTTTCTGGTCTCAACATCTCCAGCCCAATCACTGTCTGTATACCCAACAAGCTTCACAACTTCATTTGTAGAGTAAAAAATTTCATCATTACTCGTACCTTTGACATATCTCAGAATTCGCTTTGCTGCATGCAGCCCAATGTGATTCTTTTGGTTCCTCCATGAATCTGCTAAGTATTCCAACTCCAAAAGAAATATCTGGCCTTGTTGCCACCAGATACCTCAAACTCCCAATTAAGCTTTTATAAGTTGTAACATTCACATTCTTATCACACTCATCTTTGGACACCTTTAACTTTTCAGCTAACGGCGTTGAAACTGGTTTGGAGTTTTCCATTTTGAACTTTTTCAAAATATCAGCAGCATACTTCTTTTGTGAAATAAAGATTCCACAATCCATCTGAACAATCTCAAGGCCAAGAAAGTAAGACAAAAGGCTCATATCGTTCATTTCAAACCTCTTAATGAGTGCCTCCCTGAATTCTGAGATTAGCTTCAAGTTATTTCCAGTAAAAACCATATCATCAATGTAACACCCCCAAACACGACCTATATAAAAAGGCCTTAACACCTGCAGATTACACAACAAAAACTAGCACAGCGGAAGATAAAACGAAAACTGGATAAAAAGGAATCCAAACGGGGTGTTATGCCACGTTTACCACCACGGCAAACGCTACGGCGAACAATCTGCAAAGTGTATACATCTATCCCAAAAACATCAGTCTACAACTACAACGGCACACAGGCCACGAAACAAAGGTAAAGATACTAGACTACCGGCCACTAAACATCGCGCTCGTCTAGACATCACCTGAAAGACACAAAGATAAACATTGGGACGACGCCCGGTCAGCGATAATGCTGGTAACCCACCAATACCTGTTAAGTATCATACATAGGTAGGGTATATATATATATACAAAAATCATTTCGAAACGGAATACATATATATATGTGTGTAAAATCGAGAGTAAACACCAACTCAAGACTCAACACTCATCAACAAACACCACGGGAACACATCCCAAGACCACAACGGATAACAACATCACAAGGATAAAGACACGACAAACGGCAACACATGCCTTTGTGACTACACACGTCACAAGAGAGAACACAAACCACGGCTACACAAGCCCTCGTGACATCACCCGCCACGAGTTGATATGCCTTCCTTATGCCCTGTTCCAACCTTATGGCTACCCCCAACCTTATATCTAGTTCCAACCTTTACCTCCAGGACCCCTGTACATACAGTCCAACCTTAATCCCCCAGGAATCGTCATTCCCCCTCCAACAATCCCTCCAACAAAGCCACCGATTTTATAGTACACGAGGTACCGTACACGCACATGGCAACACATGTCCGGATAACACATGTTATCCCCCAAATACGTGAACCTTACATAAAGGCCACAGCTCCATAATCACGCCACGGCCACCACGAGGACCGCTGCAATACCTTGGTGACTAGTGTCCCATACCACTAATCGTGCAATCCAGGTAAAGCCACACACGCACCACAACTCAACAAGAGTCAAACAACGGATCACAACGAAGGTATGAAACATACTCAATCAAGGAATGGGTCACAGCCCAACAACAACAACGATGAATAACACAAGTTATCATCAACCAAACGGAAGGTACAAACCACACACACGCTAGCATTTAGACAACAAACTAGCATGCCCATCAACGGGGAAACTCAAGATAGTTCCGAAGAACACACAAGACACCTCTCGGTCCAACGAAACACAATGTTGAACACTTAGCACAATTCAAAACACCAAAGTCCTACATGGATACCTACCATATAGTTCTAGACATACGAAACATCAAGAAGACACTCAAATAGTTCCACAAAAGAACATCGGGAAGTCAAAAGACCAAATGCCGAGTCAAACGAATCACGGGGAACAAAACACCTCACATCACCACCTGTGTACCCGCGGGTGGACCCACGGGTAGTGCCCCACCCGTGGTCCCGCCCACGGGAACACCTTCCCACAAGGCCATGTACCCGCGGGTAGGCCGGCAGGTGGTGCCCCGCCCGCCGTTCCGATCGCGTGTACACACTTGGACCACAACAAATCCCTTCGGGGATTTTCTTCTCCAAACACAAATTCAAGTCCAAAACATGCCAAATCTCACCCAATACAATAAAATGACTTGAATCATGGAAAATGCCAAAGCAATGGCACACAAGAACCCTAAACACAAGCTTTAGATATGCATTTTCACAAGACAAATGCATAAACACTCACATTTCATAGCAAAACACAAGGAGAATCCAGAA